CACACCTCACCCCTGTTTTCCTCCCCCAGCCCAAGCCCTTGGCTGACAGCACATCCCAGCCCCACCGAGGGGCCGCCCCGCCACCACCATGGGCAAGAAAAGCAAACTGGGCAAGAGCCGGCGGGACAAGTTCTACCACCTGGCCAAGGAGACGGGTGAGGGCCCTGCCTGGCGTTGGGGACAGGGGGCTGCTGTCCCTGTCTCTCCGATAACCCCCCCATTCCTGCTCCCTCCCAGGCTTCCGTTCCCGCTCCTCCTTCAARCTGCTGCAGCTCAATCGGAAATTCCAGTTCCTGCAGAAAGCCAGAGCTCTGCTGGACCTGTGTGCGGCCCCCGGTGGCTGGTGAGTGGGGACAGGCCACCCTCAGTGCCACCAGTGGGGACTGGCCACCCTCAGTGCCCCCAGTGGGGACAGGCCACCCCCGTGCCCTCAGTGGGGACAGGCCACCCCCAGTGCAACCAGTGGGGACAGGGCACCCCCAGTGCAACCAGTGGGGACAGGGCACCCACAGTGCCCCCAGTGGGGACAGACTACCCCCAGTGCCCTCAATGGGGACAGGCCATCCCCAGTGGGGACAGGCCACCCCCAGTGCCCTCAGTGGGTACAGCCTATCCCCAGTGCCCCCAGTTGGCCTGGAACACTGTCACCGTGTCCTGTGTGTTCCCTGCTGTGTCTCTCTCCTCAATCCCAAGCCCTGGGAGCCTGATCCAGGGCTGAGGGCTCTCCTGGCATCCTGCTGCAGTYTGGTTTTCTGCTCTTCCCAGGCTTCAGGTGGCTTCCAAGTTCATGCCRGTGTCCAGCCTGATCATTGGTGAGTAGGGGGGTTGGCAGCAGCAGGGCACAGGGACATCCAGCCCTGTCCCTGGATGTGACACAGGAAGGGGGTCCTGGGCTGGGGATCCTGGACGAGGAGGCGGTGGGTGGGAACCCATCTTTTGAGGGATTTTGGTGTCTTTCTTCAACCAGGGGTGGATTTGGTGCCCATCAAGCCCATTCCCAACGTGGTGACGCTGCAGGAGGACATCACCACCGAGAAGTGCCGCCAGGTACCGTCCCCAGTGCCACCTGAAGGTCCCCTGTGGGGACAGGGGGGTCATGGCAAGGTATTGGTGACACAAAGGGGTGTCCCTGTCCCACAGGCCCTGCGCAAGGAGCTGCAGACATGGAAGGTGGATGTGGTGCTGAACGATGGAGCACCCAACGTGGGAGCCAGCTGGGTGCACGACGCCTACTCGCAGGGTGGGGCTGCTCGGGGACACTGCGGGGGGACAGGGACATCCTGCTGTCCTTATGGGGGCTGGGGTGGCATGGACCAGGGCCACCTCCCACTGCTCCGGGGTGCTCGAGCTCTGTCCAACCTGGACACTTGGACACTGCCAGGGATCCAGGGGCAGCCACAGCTGCTCTGGGAAACTCACCCCAGCCCCTTCCCACCCCCAGGGAAGGGTCACTGTGTCACCTCCTCACTCTCTCACCCCCTCACTGTCACCCCTCTCTCTGTCACGCTCTCACTCTGTCAGCCCCTCACTGTCACCCCTCACTCAGCCTCTCACTTTGTCACCCCCTCCCTCACTCTATCACCCCCTCCATCCGTCACCCCCTCACTCTGTCACTTCCTCATTGTCACTCTCTCACTGTGTCACTCTCTCTGTGTCACCTCTTTCACTCTGTCACCCCGTCACTTTGTCCCTCACTCCCTTGTCTCCCTTCTCCAGCCACGCTGACCCTCATGGCACTGAAGCTGGCCTGTGAGTTCCTGTGCAAGGGTGGCTGGTTCATCACCAAGGTKTTCCGTTCCCGGGACTACCAGCCCCTGCTGTGGATCTTCCAGCAGTTCTTCCAGAAGGTCCAGGCCACCAAGCCCCAGGCTTCCCGCAACGAGTCTGCYGAGATCTTCGTGGTGTGCCAGGGTGAGCACCCAGGGGAGCTGCTGGG